GAAAGGAGCTGAAGGTGAGGTGGGGGAGTGCCTGCTGCTGCAGCTCAGCTCTCCTGTTCTGCAGATGGATTACAGCACACCGTGAGCTGGGCTTAACAGCCTGCTCAGCCCCTCGGGCTCATGCATTAAGCAGTAATGCGGAGGTGACAGGGACACAATCCGTGTCTCGTTCCAGCATGTGCCAGCTCGGCACATGTTTCCTCCTGCAGGCTGTGTGTGAGTGCCTGGCTGAGCTCTGAGCTCGCACTGCCGCAGACCCCAAGGAGAAGAGCTTACGTCACCCTTGGAGGACAGCAGTGAGCCCTGAGCAAAATTCACTCCCCGTTTCTTGCAATTTTACTCTTTCTGTTTAATGCCCTGTTTGAAAAAATAAGCAGCTTTCTGCTTTTTATGCTGCTTCAATGCCAGCGTTTTCTCTGCCAGAGCCACCTGCTGTGTGCCCAGGAAAGGCCCATCAGCATCACTTATGCGCGGCAACAGTGACATCCAGTGGTCCCAAATCTGCCCGTGATTTGAGAACATCTGCATGGATCAGTTTGCCAGGGGTCAGCTCTGACTGTATGATGAGCAGACTTTAATAGAGTCATTAAATTAAGGCCTTCAAATGTCACCCAATGAAGACCCTGAATGCCTTGTCCTGGCTGTAACGTGATGGCGCCTCTGACAAAGAAAGGACAAGAACTTGCACAGAATAAGATACAAATAAAATTCCATAAGAAATATTTCCTCCTATGTGTCACAAATACCTTAAAAAAGAAATGCTGTGTTGGTGGCTTATCTGCATAACCATGATGGTATGTGACTATGGGTCCTTCTGCTATTTGCTGTATATTTTTGCTGTGCTCACCCAGTCAGAAATCTAGTTAGGCTGAACCCTTGCTCTGCTGACTCACTTCATGCTTCTCAAGCCAAAGTTAAAATTCACAGAGTTCTGCAGGTAAAAAGTGTCTTGGGATGTATTAACTAAGTTTCTTCTGCAGCAGAAAGAGACACTGCTGCTTCTTGTCTCCTAGTAGACAGACTCCTGGGATTGCGATTCCAGTGGGGAAATTCCTCAGAAAACTGAGGAAGTCAGGGGAAGTGGGGAATATTCCCCCCACATCGCCAAGTTCAAATCCCTGTGCCTGTCATTCCACTCCCCAGGCCAACCTGTGTGTGGGTCTGCAAGCATCCCCTTCTCCTGGGGAGTGGGGGAAGCACCTCAGGCAAAGCTGAACTTCATCAGGAGCAGCTAAATGCAGTCCAGCACTTCAGTGGTGAACAGTGCTGGGACAGAGGTGGAGGGATTTGATCAGAACCCCTGTTAGAGAACTCACATTAGTCTTTTCGATGTGCTTGGGACTTCCACTTTGCCCTGTGCTGCAGACAGAATCATGGTAAATCTGCTCGTGCAGAGCAGTGCAGCTGAGAGCTCTCAGAACAGACCAGGTGTCTGTAATTGTACCACGTTGTGGAGAAGGGCCAGATTTAAACAGATCATTTTAGAATCTGTCTTTTCATTTCACACAAGTTTTTCCACAAATCTATCTCTCAATCTTTAAAAGCCCCGCCACAGCCCCTCATATCTACCTCAGCTTTCCTTCTCTTTTCTCTTTCATTAATTCAATGACCCACAACATGAGCCTAATACAATATCAACCCCCCAAGCCATAAAGGACCTGTTCCAAAGTAATTTAACATCAAATTAATTCCAAGAAATCTTTCTAATCCATAATTGCAGAGGATGAAGAGGTGATTCTACCAATAAAATCAGTTATGAGACTGACATTTCAATTTGTGTCCATCTCCATGCTGCAGCCACTCTGGGGCCATTAAGGCAGTGAGTGGAGTGCATGTGTGTTCCATGGAAGTAGCAATTATGTGCAGTGGCTGTGACAGCAGTAGCTGGATCAATGAACCACCTGTTAGGTGCTGCTGAGAGATTCATGGGTTATGGAGAAGGTTCTCTGCTTCATTTGCTCTGAGAAATGTTGGTGAGACTTGATCCTTGGGGGTAATACAGTTTTTTTGGCAGGGAAGGCCAGGACTGAGCCACTTCAGCTGACAGGGAGCCATCAGGAAGCTCAGACAAGATGCAGTGTGCTGTGGCCACCAGGCACTAATATCTGGAAAGGAATAGCCCTGAGTTCAGTGTGTGGACACCAGCTGGAGATCCCAATCCCAGGGGAACTGGGAGGATTCCAGAGGCGGAGTGATGTTAAGAATAGCTGCAAAACAGATGCACAGGTCCAGTTTTTACATCTGTGTCTTTTGCAGTCATGGAGAAAAAATTAAGGGCTGCTAAGAGCGAACAGGTCCTGCTCCTGAGGTGGTGAGTGTAGGCAGCTGTGCCCCGGGCTCCAGCTGGAGAACCTGGTGAGCAGAGTGGTAGTGGCATCTCAGCGAGTGCACAGCTGGGTGCAAACACAGACAACTCAGCCCAGGGAGGGCTGGACACACAGACATTCAAAAGCCCGTGCCCAGGGAGCTCTGCTGGGATATTTTGATTCACACTTAGGACGTTTTGAAAGAACAAAACATTTCACGATAGAATCATCCTGGAGCACAGGACCTCAGTAAATCTGAAGGTGTGGTTATATTCTTGAAGTTTGTGTTTCTTGAATGCCTACAGCTTCAGATGGATTTTTCACAGTTTTCTAAAATGCTCACTACAGGATTCAACAACTCATGGTCAAAAAGATTTTCTCCTAGCTTTGAAATTAAAAAAGAATGAAAAAAAAGTCAAGTTTGCATTGAAATCAGTTTATAACCTAGAAATTTGTATGGGCTAGTTTCCAGCTGTCTCAGAAAATACTCCCTGATGTTTTCACCTTTCAAGGTTTTTAAAAGAGAAGATAAACACCCTACCATCTTTTCCTGCCCTTTTTTAGTGAACTAATGTAATATTTTACAGTAAAATTTGCAGCTTTAGGATTTATGATCTGTAAATGATATTTTTATCATGATTTAATGATGATATTTACAGGTTGGTGTCTGGAGGGCAGTTCCAGCCCTCCCTCTGCTCAGCCAGCTGCCCTTTGCAGCCAGGTCTCTGTGCTGTGTGACTGTGCAAGGCACCTTATGCTTCTGTTTTGAACAAAACCAATTACAATTGTGTGTTGAAACATAATATTGGATCCCTTTGCTGTTCAATATTTTATACTGTTTATTTTGAACAACAGTGTTCTGATTGTTTCTGATTCAAAGGATATGTATTTGGGGCCTTAACTCTTTTTTAATGGTGTGTTATCTCAGGGGAGCTGTGCAGGACTGGGTAAGTCTGTTGACTAGAAAATGGGGATAATATTTGCACAGCCTCTGTGCTTTCAGTGCTCAGTCAGTGACAACTGAAGTAAATAACAAAAGCTGAGGAAATTGGAAAATACTCATGTCATTATGCACTTTTTAGTTCAGGAACCAAATTGAAATGTGCAGTGGTATAAAGAAAGCTCAGCCCAACTGGGAGATAAACATCCTCTAAATAACCTTTGCAGGATGGAGGTGTTCTGAAAAGCCTCTTAGTTAAAAATTATTCAAAGTGGTCTTGGAGGATGGCAACCAGTGAGGCCAGAAGGGTTCATAGAAACTGTAAGCAGCTGTTAAAGGCACAAGTATATGAATCTTTTTGTTTTGTTTTAGAATAAAAATGTCTGGTTGACAAACATCCTGAAGAGTCAGCCACCCACATTCTTCCTCCACAGAATCAAAGATTCCCAGCTCCTAGGCTTTGAGATGTAATTACAGTATGGGGAGGTTTGGGAGAGCTGAAAAGTCGCCATAGCAACCTCCTGGCAAAAAATCTTCACTCATCCAATGTAAAGCAAAATTTCTTTTTATCTGAATGGCCCTAGTGAGCCTGAATGTGTTCTGTCTTCAATCTCTGCTTCTCTTCATTTCATTGTACTCCTCAATCATAGTCTTTTCCTTCTCTGAGTCCTAAGGGTCCTCTTTTAAATCTTGCCAGAAAAGTTTTGGCCAGTCATGGAGGCAGGATACTGGTTATTTGATCAGGCTCTGCCTGTGACTCAGGGTTAGAGAGGAGGTGCCCTCGCATGGTGTTCCAGACCCTTTGCAATCCTCTCTAGTGAAGCTGATAAACAACTTGTGCTGAATATTTATGACCATCAAAGTAAACTGATAAACATGGAAACAGATAAAAGAAGATGCAGGAAATGGAAATCCTTGGAAAGTCCTGCACAGTCCCTGTTTCAGAAAGAAAGCTCCACGCAAGAGCTTACGTGAACGCTAGAAGCTGTGCAGCATGGGTTTGGTGAGACACACAGTGCATGCCTAGCAATTTTCATGACCATAAGAGAAGGAGACCAAAACCTGCTGGCTGAGGCAAGTGGATGGCAGGAGGGGGCTCAGCCACAGCTACTTGGTTGTAGCCAAGGGAGGGTTTGTGCTGGTGCACAGGGAGAAGGCAAGGCAGGAGAGGAGCTCCTGAGATACAGAGACTTAACCTCTAGCTGGCCAAAGTGACATTCATGCAGGACTGTCCTTCCCTGGGGCCACTCACTCCTTGATCTCACTCTTTCTTGTCAGTAATCAATATTTAATATTTTTTGAACTGGTTTAATTAGTATCTTGCAGGAGGGAAGAAAGATACAGATGTTGATCTCTACATTATAGTGCTACATACTTATAATCAGAGGCTAGAGAGCTGTTGTGGGGAAATTACAACTGGTGTTCTGTAATGCAGTCACTTTTGAATCAGAAACAAGGGGATCTCTTCAGTTCAATTGTTTCTTTCTAATTTGTGTTTTATAACACTTCCTGTTCTGGACTTTGCTCTGGACAAAACTGAATATGACCCTGTGACGTGCCGCTGGCTGGGAGTGTAATGATTTGTTTCTTAAATGTTATTGCAAAAGTCAACAAATCATTGCTGGAGTAATAAAAGAGGACGTTGGGAGCAGAGATCTGTTATCACAGCAGACTTTTCAGGACTTAAGAAATGTGGTTTCAGAACAGAAATAACTTTTTCTTAATTTCCTGACCCACTGAAAACATCACAACGTCCCACCTGATTTTCACTTCATATCCTCTTCACTGGTCTTTTGGCACCTGACAGAAGAAACAGTGTGGAGCAAAAATCTGCCTTGATTTCTGTGCTACACAGAGAGGTGAGTTTTTGAGCAACACCTTTAAATAACTATGGTGCTTTTAGGAGAAAGTATGAAAATATATAAGAAGTCCTATTTAGGTATTATGGGATGGGAGCATAATGCTTTTTTTCTTAAGTGTTACTGCAAAAGTCAGAAAATAATTGCTGGAATAAATAAAGGAGAAGACTGAGAGAAGTGTTTTGTTGTCACAGCAGTAAATGGAAACCTGAATGACATTTCCTAACCTTGTAAGTTTTATGAAGTGCAGTTTTTAAAGGAAATGGAGGCAGTTGTTATTAGCTCAGGGGGTTTTATAATTATCTATTGTTTATTTTACGTGTCTGAACACAAAGGGACAATTTTCATTTTGTCAGTGGTCAGGGTGTGGTAACCTTTTGTGGGGAGCCCCAGGTGAGGGCTCTGTCTCATGTGAAGACAAGAGACTCCACTGAATGAACTTGGCCATCTTAGACTATCTGAGAATCTAGTTCATCCCTCACAGCCATTTTATGTAACTCATTACTAGCTGAAGATTTAATCCAGTGTGGTCCTAAACCAAGAATAATCCCTTCCCTCTGTGCCTAGTAAAGTGAGCAGAGGACAGAGCACCAGGGGGAGCATACAGGACACGGGGAGCAAGTCTGGGGCTCTCAGGCATCGAGGCTGTCTGTCCATTCCATTGCTCTGCTTTAACTGCAGTCACTTAGGAAGCAACTTCAGACTGAAGCACACAATAGAATAAACTCCTTTCAGTTTAGAGAGGCATATTTGAATTTTGCTTTAAATGTTCAGTGTATGCTTATACTGGAACCAGCCCTTCCCCATGTTCCCAGGACTCAATTAAAATGATGAAAATTTGTTTGTAGACAGAGCCCAGGGGTGAGAATAAATATTTTTTTTTTGGCTATGCTGTCCATAAGCAGCCTTGTGTCCTGTTTCTCCATGTACCTCTTGCCCTGTCTGCTGCTCCATGGTCTACAGTCCCAGAGAGTACATGGGGTATAACCATGGATCAGCACATCCAGCTGAGAGGCACTGGCAGTGCTTTCTTTTATAACTTGTTTTCCCTATGTTTTTGGGAACTTCACCACTTCAGATGTGGTCTCCTTTTGTCAAAGCAGGTTGGAAGTTGCTAACAGGTTTGCAGAGTTGTGAAAGATGAACAAAACATCCACAGTGTAGTTGTGTAAACCTCATCTCTCTTAGAAACCAGCGGGTTTGTGAGGCTGTGACCTTTACTGAGAGGACTGATCTAGTGACTCAGCCCAGTCATGAGGAGCAAGGACTTCTGGGTTCCTGTGCTGTGAATACCATTCCAGCAAATTGCAGGAGCAGTTTGAATTTCTTAGGCAAGTGTGCAGGAAAGGGGTGCTCACCAACATCTTTCTTTCAGAACGCGCACAAAAAATGAAGAAGTTCCTGTGTGGCCCTGGACAGCACTCTGCTGACAAGGCTCTTTCCATCTTGGTGGTTGCTGCTCATCTTTTCTTCCTGGCAGGTACAGTAATTTCCCTCAGAATTAACCATAGGGATGGTTAATCCCACTGCCAGTGGGCTTTGGGCATCCCCCAACCCAGGGGATGTCTGGTGGTGTCCTGGTCTGTGTACACACAGTGTATCCATGCAGGAGCCCACTTTGCTCTTGTTCTGCCCCAGAGCAGCAGTTATTCTTGCTCAGGACCTCTCCCTTCTCCATGCAACTGGTACTGAGGTCCTTGTCTCTCCCTGAGCATTGTTGGCCAGAGACCTACAAGTCTGGATGTAAAGCACACCCTCTCCTGGGATGCTGGTTCAGCAGATGAGTGAGTACAAATGAGAAAATACAGCAAGGAGTGAAGTGTCTGGTTTTGGTTGCATCACAACTGTTATCCACGTTTGGAGGTAAAAAGCCTCTTGATTTTGTCATTATTGACTGGTTTTCCTCCTGTGTATATTCCTGCATTTCTATATAGTTTATTTCTAGTTTTACTTCAGTCATTGTAAAATAAGAGCTGTGCATTTGCTCCATGGTATCCTTGGAAAAGCCCAAAGCTACTGACAGAATCAAGACAGAACCAAGACAGAACCAACAGGACTCAAGAACAATACAGGGCATAGAGATAACTCTTACTTCCAAAATGCACTGGGGTCACTTCAAGCACACAGGACAGTTGAGGAAAACCAAGGAAAGTTTCCATAATAAGAAGACTCAATTAATGTTTAGTTCTTTACAAATGTACCCACTTTCTCTCAGCTTTAGCTGAGAAAATCTGTCTGCTATAAGGCACTGAAAGGTCTGAACCCTGAAAGGGTGGTTTCCCAGCATGTCTCTTTGGTGGTGCAATGGTAGTCTGGTCTTTTGTGGAATAGATGGCAGTCCTGCCAGCTGTACATCCCACAGGAATTTTCATATGATGGAGAAACACATGGGAACTGACTTCTTACTCTTTTGGGCCCTGCAGCTGCTGGCAAGTATGGCTGAAGATGGCTGTTGCATTTTCGTGTGCTGTAATGAACTACTCACTGCTTGAGTGGTAATTGAGTAGCTACACCCACCTCTCTACATCCCCTAAAACTCTGCCACAGATCTTCTGCAGTGCCAGCACTGGCCGTGGATTTCATGAGGCTTTAAGCTGAAGGAGGTTAGATTTAGATTAGATACTAGAAAGAAATTCATCATTCTTAGGGTGGTGAGGCACTGGAACAGGTTGCCCAGAGAAGTTGTGGATGCCCCATCCCTGGAAGTGTTCAAGGCTGTGTTCAAGTTGTATGGGGCTTAGAGCATGTGGACCCTACACCTGAACTCTGTGTTGATTCCTATTTGGCATGTCTTGAGGACTTCAACTTCTGCTTTGCAAAGTTAAACTCATGTTCTCTTTACTGGTAGTGTGGGTGGTCTCAATTAAATTTCAAAGGCAGCAGAAACTAGAAATAGAAGAAAGTTATAATTTTTTAAATCATCATTCAGGGAGGAACCCAAATGAATCCATATGGCAGCTTTTTCTTTGGAAGTGACACTTCATTTCCTTCTTTACTCTTTCCCAATGCTGTTTGCTTACAGAAACACAGGATCTGCATGGAGAACGACTGGGTCTACTGGGAAGAAATGATAAATACGTGTCCCTGGTCAACTTCAGCATCCCTCAGCTCTGTCAGTTCACGGTGTGCATTGACCTAAACCGGACTGCCAATGTCAGCTCGTGGGCAGCATTTTCCTATGACACCAACACTGCCTCCACTGACATCAATGACTTAGAACTCGGGCTCTCTGGAGAAAACAAGCACCTGAGACTGTATCTTTTTGGCACCAGACGAGACATTGAGATCGACCTGGCCCTTTTTGTGTGGTACAGTGTGTGCTGCTTGTGGGACAGCAGGAAACAGCTGCTGGAGGTCTACTGCAATGGGAACCTCGTGCACAGCGAAGCCCTGGGCAGTGCAGGGTGTCTGAAACCCAACGGCAGCCTGGTGCTGGGCCACCTGCACAAGAGAAGGGATGGCTTCATTGTCAGGGTCAGCAACAGCTTCATTGGCAGCTTGTACTACTTCCAGCTCTGGGACCGTGTGCTGGGTCAGGAAGAGCTGCTGGGCTGTGCCATGGGCAGCACTGTCAGCTGGAAGGAGCAGTACTGGAACTTGAGCAGCGTCCCCCCCGTCATGGACCATCGCCTGCGCTGTGGTGAGTCTGCGATGTTTTGTCTTCTTGGGGCTTGTGTGTGGCTGGGGATCACAAACACTCCACTGCTCGGGATTGTCTAACGGCCTCTGAGTCACTGCTGCTGAGATGGAGACCAGGGTGGGCAGAGCTGTGGCCGTGCTTATGACATTGCCTGCTCACCCCATGCAGGCTCTTCTTGATACAGAGGCTGTGGATGAGGTAAATCTGGCAGGGACAAGCTCTGCCACTGAAATCCCCTGGAAGCTGCTGGCAGGTGGCATCTTTTGGATGAACCTTCTAGTGGGTTCATCCTTCTACTGGGGCACCAATCTGCTACTGATCTAGGCTGACAGAGAGGTGGGACTGCGATTTTCTTTCTTCCAATATGTTTAAAAACATTTAACTATGCCATTAGTTAGATGATAGTATCATAGAATCACAGAATCACTTGGTTTGGAAGGGACCTTAAAGATCATTCAGTTCCACACCCCTTGCCATGGGCAGGGACATCTTCGCCTAGACCAGGTTGCTCAAAGTCCCATCCAACCTTGATCACTTCCAGGGGGCATCCACAACTTCTCCAGGCAACTTGTAATGATAGTAATCACTTTCCTTCAAGGCTTCCATGTGCTGTGTGCCCCAGATGCTGCTGCGTCATGGACAAGTGCTCTTAGCAGTGTTTAGGGTCAGCCCTGGTGTCTGTATGTACTGTATGGTGTTTAAACTGCACAGTATTAAAACAGGAACCCAAGACTGTCTAATTGACTGATAGACTGACTGATTTATGTAAAACTAATGATATGTCACAATGTTTAGGTGCTCCTCAATAACAGTGAATGCACCTTTGCTAATTGTCTGTAAGCTGATGGCTTCACAGGGAAAGCAGAGTCACAGTATGAAGTAATGGGTAATTTTTGGTGTCCACTTTGAGAATCCAAGGAGCATCCCATCAGACAGCACAACTCCATCATGTGCAGCACCTTCTGACTTCACTGCAGTTTCTTCCATCTCCTGCTCCAGTTTTCATGGGACCGGGGCCCAAGGCAATGAGATATTCAGAAACCACTGACTGCCGATGAAACCTCTGCTCAGAGGGATTCCCCACCCCTCCCTCATTGCACCCTCCCTCACTCTGCACCAAAGGACACAGGCACTGATAACAATTGCTGTAAATTACAACCTTCCCATCTGTCTCTTGGCTCCCTGCCCCACTGCCTTTATCCAAGCACTCCTCCTTCTGCACTGCCTGTCACTAGAGCTATTTCCCCACTTGTGTCCCTGGTTGGGGGAGGTATGATCTGATGAGGAGGGAGGAGGAAGGCTCAGTTTCCCTTTTCCAATTAATACCTTTGCCCTTGGGCCCATTCACTCTATGGGAAAGGTGTGTGCTTGGCTTGGCAAGGAGTTGTGAGAAGCTTAGTCATGTTTGATGATGAAAAGTCTAGCACCTAAGATCAAAGCCTCCATTCAGTGTTCCCAGGCTTTCATTTTTCAAGAAAAATAACCTGGATGAATTTGAGCATCTTTTTAGTAGGACAAAGCATGTTAGAGACAGGCTTTCAATGGTCAACACATTCTTGCCTTCTAAAGCAGTCCTCAAGAACCAGGTGATTTTCTCTAGTTAGGATTCTCCAGTGCAGCCTGAATAGGACATTCAGTCTGCAAAATGTTGGCCCAAATATTCAAAGGTTATCAGCAAAGAGAGACAGCAGCAAGTCTCACAAGTGATGGACTACACCAACAGGCACCGAGGCTTCTTTTGCCTATGGTGCCATAAACCTCTGGATCCACTCTGTGATCCACACTGGGAGGAGGGTTACTGCAGTCTGACATCTGTCTAAGAACAATGACCAAGATGACTGCTGGGATGTAACAGAGATGTTATTAAAACTTAATCATGTTTGAGAATCCATCGTGTGTCAGATCCTGGCAATGCCTTTGCTTCTTCTATAAATCTACTCCTTACTTTAATTAACTGGAATTCATGAGCGAGCTGTAGCACAGGGGCATGCTGATGATACACGAGGTAGGGATAACAGTGAGCAGTGTAAACATGTATTGAGATTGATGTCCCATCTGTCAGACAGGGGAAGTTGCACCTGGCTGTACTTCATGTGGATTGTCCATATGGGATCATACACACTGAGTCTACGTGAGACAATCTGAAGCATCCATGTAGGAAACAGTTGTGCTGAAGTGTGGCTATGTAATGAAATGACATAAGGAAGTGCCATGTCAATACCAATTTCATGTCTGAGATTGTTACTTATGCCCAATAACGTTCTCTAGCTGCAAGGTTTGCCTCTTGTGTTTATATGTGTTGTTTATGGATGTTTTATGTTGCATTGCTTGGTTATGCAGTTGTGATGTGCAGTTGGGCAGCCTGCTTTGTTTTGGAAATCCTACATCATCTTTGGGAAGCCAGGGCTCATTTAGGCAAAGTGAGTGAAACTTCTCACACGAACATAGGCAGAGGGAGCCTTAAGAAGGTGTGTTGGCTTTTCTAAGTGCTATAATTATTGTAGCAATTGCACTGGCTTTGCTTGATAGTAGAAGTAAAGTTATTGTTCTGCCTTCGCTTTTTTCCCAGAGATCTTAAAGATAATCCTTTGTTTTTCCAGCTCAGCTGGGTCTTTGCTAAAAGTGTAGAAGTAAAAGTGTGTGTTCTCATCCTCTCACTGACTCAGTCTTCATCTCTTCCTCCCCCTGCCTCACCCACACACTGCTTTCTGATTTTCTTCTTGATTTTAAATAATCCTGGAAAGGGATGAATATTCAAAATCTGAAAATGACTGCTAATAATATAGAAATATATTTATTGCAGTTCTCTTATTGGCTAGTCTAATTTTCGCTGCTTGTCTATTGGAAACCATACATATTTACAGGTTGCCAAATAAACCTTTTATTAAATGATCAAATGAAAATCCTTGGCTAAGACTTAAAAAAAATCAGTGGCACAGTATTCTTGTAGCTTCAGATCTCATCTGTCATCATGCCTTAGTCCTCATTTCGTGAATGGAATATTAATTAAAGCAAGCTATTAATTAAAGCAAATGAAGTTATAGGATGCAGGTGACCAGTCCCACACCTGCCTGCTGGTAATGATCCCTGACATGTGAGAATAAACAGATTTCTTTTTTCTTCAGGTGATAATGAGAAGGAGAAAGAAATATATTGTAATCCGTGCAGTTGTAATTATGCTTCATTTGTTGGGAGTTGGAAACATCATTCTGATTTACATCCTCGATCAGAATGGGTTTGGGGCTTTGTTTGGACCTTTTTCTGTTTTATTTTGTTTTGGTTTTTTCCCTAGCGGATTTTTCTGATTCATCCTGCCTGACTCTGGGTGCTATCAGATATCACCCCTGTGCAATATTTTTTGAAACATTACACTGATAACAACAAGAACAGAAGCCTGTAATCACACAGCTCTGTGCAGATTCCTCCAACCTGGAGAGGGTCTGCAGCAGTGGAACAGTCAGGGGGACAAGTTAAGCCCCAGATGTTCAAACAGTTAGGGATATGGCTTGATAAATCATAGCCTAACATCATGCTCATAGTTCTGTAGGAAAGAAATATTTATTCCACTAGTAAGTCGTGTTTGTATAGCATTGGCCCTTCTATGTTCTCATCACACTTCCTCTGTGGCAGCAGTTCTTAAAAAAAGCTTATAACAAGACACTCATTTTATGTCAGTTTGAAAAGAGGCACTCATTATTTGTAACATCACACTGGGGCTCACAGAACCATCTCTGCAGCTTCACACCACAGGGAGGCATACAGGTTTCCATTGGAAGTCTAAGCTGTGGAATTAAAGTCCCTGGGAATGCTGGAATATCTGCCTCTCTCCAGCACTGAGGGCCAGGTCCTCTGGGTTTTGCTCTCTGGGTATTCTCATGGCAGTATGATGTGAAGAGGGCTTGTGCACACATGCTGGAGGAAAAAGCACATCCCTTTAGCTCCAGGTTCCTCTGTTTTCTTTTGAGGAGTTGGTTTCCTTTGTCTCTAGGGCTTTCAATTCAGTAGATGCTTCTGGCCTCTTGTCTGCCAAACAGTGTTAGTGTTGGTAGGAGCTCTGTGCATGGAACACCGAGGTCTGTCTTGCAGCTCAGTGAGCTAAGCCTGAGGATCTTTTTCCAAATAAAGAATCAGCAAATGCCCATTATGTCAGGCCGTGTTTCTGACCTACTGCAGGCAATGGATTTGAAATGGCAACATGGCAGCTTGCTCCTGGATTTGCTAGTGTTTTTATGGAAAAGTAAAACAAAGTAGATTAGGTTTCTGATTTCCAAAGTTTACTACTATCTCAGATGCAAAAGGCCTGAGTAAAGAGGAGGCATGTCCAAATGCAAACCTGAGATTCATCAAGCATGGGAAAAGCAGGCTTGCTATTTTTACAGCTTTCTGCACACCCTGGCAGCAACGGGGACTGTGCTCCACCAAAGCAGGTCGCTGGGCAGTTTGGTCTTTGGAACAGCTGGTGCATCTTTCCTGCTCCCCATCCTTCTGTCTCCAGGTGTGGGGGAGCCTCCTGCCTCAGCTCTCCCCCAGCCCTGAGCACGTTACCTCTGCTGAGGAAACCACAGGGGCTGAAATCACCATCTCCTAAATCATGAGGTGACACCAAAACACAGACTAGCACCTCAGAGGAGCATTTGGAGGCTGAAGTCTGAGCTGAAAACTGAAGGGTCTGAGCTGAAATCCGAACGGTCTGAGCTTATTCCACAAGAGCCAACCTTGGAGAGACAACTCAGAGCTGGACTTCAGTTACTTTATTGTCCCCTCGCTCCAGTTTGACTCTGTGCTGAGTTCACAGCCTGTCACTTAGTGCAAAGGGGAAAATCAATTGTGTGTCCAGGAAGCAGAAGCCTGTGTACTGTAGGGTGCCTGCTCAGAAGGGGCTTTTGACTTTGGATGTCCTTTGAATTTCACAAGATAATTTGAAGTCATTTAGGATAAAAATAGGAGACTTCAAGTTGTTAACAGCCCATGTTTCTATTATTGTCCATGGATATATTGCCACTGATTTGAGTGAGTCATAGATGGGCTGTTATATTTCAAGCATGGGTGAGTCTCCTTACCTTGAACTACTGTTGAGAAAAACAATGTTTTATGAAGCATGGTCTTATCCTGCTTATTTCTGACCACACTCCTTATTCACAGACATTTGGCTTTGCATTCATATGTTAAGTTTATTTCTCTTAGTCAGAGCTAGAATGTCAAGTCTCTGACAGTCATTCAAGTGAAGTAAAAAACACAAATTACCAGCCTAGCAAGGAAATGGTACTTCTAGGGCAAAATGTTGAGATCCTACTTTTCTTTCAGCACCAAAGCTTGTAATGTTACACAGTGATTCAGTTCACTGCAATTTTCTGTAGTACATGTGACAAACATCACCTGTTTTGTCCCTGTCTGCCTAGTGATGTGGCAGATTGCGTGTGAAATGAAAAGTCAAATCTGGCTTGACAAGGTGATTCACTTCAAGGAAAATCAGCTACAAATGAATTCTTGGAATTCTTTACTTTGAAAACAACAAACAGGATGGCCAGCATTTATGATGGGAATCATTATGCCAGGTTATCATTTAGCCAGAGACCACGAATATCAGAGTTCCTCTCACAGGCATTACTGCATGTTACTCCATTAGCACTCAGTGTGTGACCAATGCCTTTCAATGAAGGCTGGCACAGCTTACACAGGCAAGAAGGGAACACAGAAAACCGCCCTTCAACACAGGAATTGAAAAAAGATAATGGCGTATAAGCTCTGGGTCTTCCCTGGGATCTAAACCCTGCAAATCCTGTTTTCTCCCTTGTTATGCTGTAGTTAGCTCTGGAGAAATTAAAAAAAAAACCAAACAACATGTTGGTGTATTTTCCCTTTTGCCTTCATCCTGCAGAGGTCCGTGGAACCACAGCAGCTCCTTGCTACAATGACCTTTGCTGAAGGACTCAAACCTCTCTCTCACCTAGACTATTCTCTTCCTCACACTTTTGCCAATATGAATTCTTAGGTATTTTATTGTTCTTTCCAGCAGGCTTGAGGAGAGCATCTTCAGCAAGGGCTCCTACACTGCCCCCTTTGCCTCCGACCAGTAGCACCAAGGGTGTCATTCCAGGTAAGTGTTCAACAGCGACATTTTAAATGCTGTTGTGGTCATCACTGGCACTGATTGACACTGTAGATGTGACAGTCTAAGACTCAGACACATTCTTAAGCCATTGCTGCTTAGCAAGGTGTCCCGTGTCAGCAGAGGCTCCTGCCTCTCCTGTGCACTCTCAGCAGACAGTAAAAGCCAAGATCATGCTCACTCAGATATGAACCACAACTCAGTTGTTAAGCTGTGATAACATGACCATGTGTTTGGACCCTTGAGTTCTTCAATAAAATCTCTAGCAATGCAGCAGTAATCAAACTTGGACATTTGCAGTCTGGGATATCCCAACGGGCTTTGGTGACCATGGGAATGGGAAAACAACTGTGGCTCTGCAGAGGGATGTGAACATGGGAAGGGGGGCAGGCACCTTCTGTGCAAAATACAGGATTCATTTCACCTGTGTTCTCTCCTTACAGTCACCTTCTTCAATGTTCACATGAACTTTTCTCTTTTCTACAAAACCCAGAGGGCTCCTGATTACTATGATGCAAGGAACCTTCTTGAACACTGGGTGAGTAGCTTGCTTTTCTCATTTTCCTGTGTTGCTAGCAAGCATCAGGTGAGGAGGAGAGCTAGCAGAATCATAGAACAGTTTGCATTGGGAGAGACCTCTAAAGGTCATCTAGTCCAACCCCAGTGTACAGAATGCAAACTGTTGGGACAACACAAGAATGTAACAATACTGTGGTGTTTCAGAATCATGTTATCCAATGCATTTTTAACAGGACAAAATGAGATTGTGAAGGAAGGGAAAAGTGTTAAAACTTCACAGAAATTCTTAGCTATTTTAATCAGGATTTAGAATTTTGATGACAATTCTAAATTTACAAGCATATCTATAAAAAGTGTTGATAAGTCAAGTTAATAAAAACGTGTGGTTTTTTTCTTTTTCCAGTTTAGTATAATCTTTACTGGAGAAGAATTTGTTATGACAAACTTTAAAATCAGGTAAGGTTCTGGCTGTGTAGTGGTGTCACCTTGACCCTCTGTCCTTTTAGCAGCCAGATTCCAAATACCCATTTCACAACTGACCAGCCTGTGACAAGGGTGGAAACTAAACCCCCAGGTCTGCACAACTTCCAGCATGTTGAGCACCCACATCTTGTTCACTGGACTCATTCACCTGAAAATATGTATCCTGCCCAATGCAGGGCAAGGAGCTGCTCCAATCTGAGACCTCATCTTTGCCCATTTATATTGGTTTGTGACCAAGATGAAACCTTTGCTGCCTCTGCAGTGTGTGAGTGGTGACTCCAGTGGGCTGATGTATCTGCTGCCACCCTGGCTATCCAAAAAGCAGAGAAGTTGGTACTTGCAGGAGAAGGAAAGTGCTGATACCTGCAGGATTCACTCATATTAGTGTTGCTGAAGCCTCATTTCAGTGATTACATGTGAGTGCAAAGGGCTCCCCTATTTCGTACTTTTTAGCCCACTCCAGCTGTATTCATATCCAAACTGTGAGCAGCTGAGAGGGTATTTTAATAAGTTGTAAAAGTATCACTTGTATAGACATGAAGTTTTGTCTTTTGTGCCTATTTTGACTTCCTACTTCTCTTACTTTTACAGTTACTACTTGCTTTACAAATGACAATACACTAACCCATCGCACTGTTCACATGGGGTGAATCCAATTTGGAAAGCCCTAAGGGAAGGGAGGGTCCCATTCTGGAAGAAGAGTTTTGTCAGAGTGCATCTCTGTTGGTCTTGGTGATTTCTGTAGATACATCCATGCTGAATTCAAGATGACTTCTCTGCTGCAAAGTCTGCTCATTATGGTCAGAAGCTATTTTAGATGAAGGCAGAAGGGGGGAAAATGTTATATTTATATGCTTCTGTGAAATATTTTCTATTCTCTTTTGCTTGCAGGGGTAATTATCTACAAAGCAGTGCCTATAAGAGGACTCACGTATGTAATTTGTTATTTTCTGATTTAAGTAATTACTTTTTCTTATCCTCTGCATATGGGACATAGTAGTTGCAGGGTCTAAATGCTGATAGTATTGTGTTTTGTTGAAATTACTGAATCATCCTGATGGACCTCTAGCAGTACTGTGAAACAAAGGCTGTTCTATGGAGTCAGGTTCCAGTAACGCTTACAGGCTCCATTTTAATGAGAACATAGAGTTTTTGCTGATTGCTGTCCTTAAAATCTGATTTGTGCCTGTTGATTCTAACCAGCTTCTAACTTTGTGTCCCTCTATGTGACCTGAAGGGGAAGGTAAAGCGGATGTCACAAAGGTAAGACCCAGGTTGTGTGAACTGGGTTTCCATAGTTCATATTGATTTCATGTTTAGGGTGAGGAGGAATTATACCCCTCCGTGGCTGTTTGAGCTTCAGAGTGACCAGAAAACCCCACACATGGAGTAATGCTTGGCTTGGGGAAATGTGTTTGAGCATCCAAGGTTTCCATCTCATACCCTGAATCTTGGGAGGCTCAAAATGCTTCCATGGCAAGCTGTGAGGTTTGTGCTGCACTGTAAGAGCTGCTGTCTTCAGTGGGGCCAGTAAGTGGACAGTGCCCAAAAGGGATACCAGGATGAATCCTGCACCTCTTCTGTAGGAAATCCTGATTGCCTTCTGACTCCAGGCCAGGAGGAGGGGGAGCTGGGTTCCCATCACCTTCAAGGGGTTGCAAGTGATTTAGAAAGGCCTCGAGGAGTGGGGGACAACTGTGTGGAGACAGGAGTGAATTGGAAACACATGAAACATCCCAACCCTAAGGAAATCTCACTTATAAGTCCTCAGTTAAATTAGAGGTCCATTGAGGTGCTCCACTCATGGCTTCTTGCGGCTTTCTGTCATGTCGGAAGCCACTCAATGAGAGGTACTGTCTTTCCAAACCATCTGGAATCAGCAAGCCCAGTCACTTAGCACAATAGCTGTTCTGAGGAGGAAAAGCTGGAATACACCAGAGATCCTGAAAGGAGTTAGTTAGATCTCAGTTTTCCAGGGTGCCATGGAGTCTTCCACCTCTGTGTGGACACGGGGTTTTATGATTGGCTCACTCCAAAATTTAAACGTTGTGAAATGTTACTAATATGGCAGCCTTGTTTGTGTATTCTATTTGTAGCTACTTCTGTAAGGCAATTCTAAAGGCCACATCTCTGGAAATACAAGAAGTGCTGAGTCTCAGGATCAAACAGCTGTTGAATGACACATACAAAGAGGGACCACTATCCTTATATGTGAAACCTGAAGATGTGGCTGTGAAGTCAATAGGTATTATTTCACTAAAACCTCATTGGAAATCACACGCTTTGTAAATCTGCCTGTAAGTGTTTATCAAATTTAGATTTTGTGGAGAGTTTAGGCTAGAAAATACCCTTAACAAGTAGCCAGACTGACCTCATCTGATGCACAAGCTGTAGAATGTCATGCAGTGACAGCAAGATCATAAACTTGGGTTCCAGCCAAATGGAGGTAAGATAAAACCTGAATCCTGGTGCCAAGGCAGGTCTGAGCACCTTTGCAATGAAGGCAAGGTCAGGCTGATTCAACTACAAATCTGAGAGCCCCTGTTGGTAGCCAGTGCTCCAGGGACACCAAAACCATACATTCAAACCTAACTCTCTGCCATTTGTGTAATATCTGTGCATATTGGACCAAACCTCAGGTGCTAAACAATTACTTTCTTGGTCTGGTTATAATCTCTGCTGCTCTTTAAAATACAGAAGTAAGACAAAGGTAAGAGCTGACAGACCATATCTGACATTTAAAACAACATTTTATACCAACAACTTACAAAATACCAGTTGCAGATGATGAAACTGCAAGCCTGGAGGAAAGACACTGATGGGATAATGAAGGGCAGTGTGAAAGCACCTTCAGATAGATTGGACAAGCCTGCAGGATGTGCTGTCATCAAATATGGTTTGTGATACTGGAAACTAATACTGTACCTGAGAACTGACCTTGTCAAACAAAAGAGAAAAAGACTGTAGAAGAAGAGATGAAATATCTAAACAAATCTAAACAAAATGCTTTCTTGCAGACAGTAAACTTGTAAAATACTCCTATGCAGACTTCAAATCACAGCTCATTCCCATCAGGAAATGAGGTCCACAGAACAGTTGGATTCCTGTGTGTCAGAGGGAACTTCTTTTTGACTATTAAATCTTTTTAAAGAGCTTTTATGTATTTCCTCCTCAGCACTGATGGATTGTCCAGAAAGCTTTTCACACACAAGTTACAAGGGGAATTATTCCTGGCCACTGACAAGTCCAGCCTCTGAAGCAGAGGTCAGCTGCAGGAAAAACCCTCTGCAGTCTGCTCAGAGGAGCTGGTGAGCGATGAGATCATCTTGCTTTGGTTTCTCCATGGAAAACAGGAGGCAGCACCAGGCTTTGTGATGGTAAACCAGGTGGCAGTCTGTCATGGCATGGCAGTGCCAAGGAGGATGCAAAGGACACGGGGCTGTTCCTGCACGAGCTGCAGGAAGAGGGACTGTGGCATCATTCCCATCACCTGCAGCTTCCTCAGGACTTTCTGCTTGGGCAGGGAGGAGAAACACAAGCACTGTAGCATTTTGTGCCATCCCTTCATAGCTCCCTCCCCTCCAAGGTGCATTGCAAAGGGCTCTGGCACTTGGGCTCTGCTCCCACTCTGCTGAAAAAGTGCTAAAGTCAGATCTGACATGCAAGTCCATTTAAAGTTGGGCTAATGAATTATATTCTTAGTTACCTGAGTGGGAAATATGAGGAACATCATTATTATGTCTTTTTTTCAGTAACAATGTACATTGTTTCAATTTTTCAGTGCAATTAGTATTGAACTAGAGCAAGCTTTTTGGAAGAAACCAAACATGACTAGATGTAAACTACTGGAAAAACTTCCAAATAATATTTTAGGCCTCCAGGATATCAAGATAACAGAAGGTAAGGCACCAGATTCTTCAGTGACACAGTGAGTCACAGTAAAATAGTTTTACTCAGATAATGCTTATTACATCTGAACAAGGGAAGGGATAAGGTTGCTTTATGTGTATCCTGCTCATCTGGTCATCTTAAAGGTGTTTTAATGTCAAAGAATTTTGCAAGTGCTTCAAAATTCTCTAGCTATCACTTTGAAGATTTGCCTCAAATCCTACACTTTGATTTAGAACTAAGCAAATAACCAATGAATAATGTGGCAGGTTTTGCCTGTCTGTACCCTCTCTGTTACCACATCAAAGTAGTTCATAATATCTCATACAAAGAAGCACAAATCAGTGTCTGCAATTGAAAAGTTGGTGCTGTAGTTCATGTAAGTGATAAGGAGACATTTACCACATGGTCATATCTTTTTTAAGCTATGCCAAACAGTGTAAGCTGTTTGAATGGTGAACAAACCCAATACCATGGCTTATCCACCTCCTCAGCAGTGCATCAAATAGTAGATCATTGAAAGATATCTGCAGCTGCACACAGTCTCTCTGACTCCCAGGGTGTAAAACTCTGCTTCTATAAAAAAAGAGGATGATGAGATGATGAATGGCAAATACATTTTTTTCGAATGTTACCATTCAGAATTTGCTTTTGCTACTGTACCAGGTAAGCAGCATTTGGGGAGAGGGGAAGATCTTGTCTAATTTGGAACTCACAAGCGCTTGTAAACATGGCAAAAGTTAAAGGTAAATATTATTTACAGATAGTATTTATAAACCAAAAGCAGGTGACAACATTTGTATGAAAAAGACATTATTTTCTTCCTTTAACTGAGATATCTAGATTTTACTTTGAAGTTTTTGCCAGTTTCATTGACACGTTGAGGGCTTATTGACTTATTTTTAGGACATAATTTTGTAGTAGATCAAGAGCATTGTGACCATATGGAAAGAGAGGAGAATGAAATTAATTCCTGAATTTAACATAGAGATATGTACTGTATAGCCAGAGAGATACCTATGCCACATAAATCATCTCTGCTTCCTTTTTTTTCAGAGAACGCACAAGATGTTATACAGCATATTTTATACCTCTTGCCAGATGCAACACTGCATGTGCAAGAATTAGAAATCATTGCAAGTAAAATTTCTGATGTTGTCCAGCTTGCAGATGTGAGCATGACACTTGCAGAGACTGCATTGTCTATACTAGACTATATTTTGCTGCAAGAAATAGAAGATCAGAACATTAGAAAAATAACCAATAGGTAAGTAAGATAACTTGCTCAGAGCAGGGCTCCTGAGCTGAAATGGCACCATGGAACTAATTCATTCACTCCACTAAAATATTACATGGGATTTAGCAATTTCTGTACTTGGATTTTAAACATGTTTTTGGTTCTTAGCAGCAGAAATTGGTTATTGTGTTGTCAAAGGTGCTTTTACCAGAACCAGTTCTGCAGAACCATCACAGTGTTGTTTCCTGTGGGCATCCAAACCTGGAGGCAGAGCAGGGACTGCCCAGCTGGCACCTCCTCTCACAGGTGATCTCTGTGGCTCAGCAGTGAGGTCTGTTGACAGGTCAGCCTGGAGACACAAACCTCTGTTACCCCTCTACCTGTGCTGATAAAGACTTCTCAAACACAGCTATGCAATGTTAAATTAGAAGTTCTGGGTGGAGCATGACTATGCCACAGCCCAGTTGTTTGCAGTGGACAACTCGGCGTTGCTTTTCCAAACTCTGCAAGGAGGAGTAGCCAAAAATAGCCTAGAAAATCTGTCAGAGAGAAAGAACTGGGTAGCTTCGTGATCCTTTGGGCTATGTGCTCTCTCTTCCAAGCCTATCACACTGCAGTGTGTGGAGTGGAGGCTGTGATAGCTGCCAGCATGCACCACCTCTGCCTTCTCAAATAGGCTGTGGGGTTTTTAAGGGAAATATCCATTGCTTTGAATTCTCCTCCCATGAAGTGTAAGGTTTTAGGGACAAGGATGTTATTCTTGATCCTTAATGGAGATAGAGTTGGTATTTTGGGGAGGTGAACTCCAGGCTTTGCAGCTCCAGGGCAGCTGTGGCTGAAATGGTCCTGGTGTGTCTGGGGTTGATGGTGCATGAAGGTAACACCAGACCAAAGGACAGGAAGGTTTTCCTTCAGTCTGTTCTGGGAACAGCTTTCTTTCACATTTTCAGTAGAGTTTTATCCCTCCTTGCATATTGCTGAATAGCCTTAAGGGAGCCAAACAAGATGTGGAGCTGTCCCTGACTCTTAATACCCATGAGTATTAAACAACCCTAATTTGCTGCTTCCTTTACATTCCAGCCTCTTCTGTCTACTTAGAAAAAACCTCACAGATAGTCAGGGCCAGATGTGTGTTATGAAACCAGGAGAACATTTCAAGAGATGTATTTTTTTCCTCCCTGTTGCTTTTGTTGAAGTATCCTGCAGACAACTGAGGAGATAGGCTACAAGGTGACTTACACAGACAGAAATGCGTCGGTCATAACCTCTTCCTTGGCTCTGTTGGTGTTGCGTCCAGATCCCAGCACGTTTGGAGGACTGGCCTTTGGCATCACCTCCTACAACAGAGGTGTGGATCTCCAGGTGAGAGCAAAGTATCACCTCAGAATCATGGACTATAGCAGACAACCCTCCTGCTCTTCTGACCTGTTTTGTGTTTGACCTGAGGACAGCAGCTCTAAGCATGTCATCTCTCTCCTCCTGCAGATCAATGTGCAAGAAAACCCTTTCAAAAATGCCTTGGCCTCAGTGTTTTTGCCAAAATCCCTGAAGAACTTCCTCGGGATCGAGCACTGTGACCCAGACAAGCATTCGAAGATCCAGTTTAAGTTTTTTGGCACTACTTCACTTTTTGCGGTAACTACGACTCCCAAAAAACCCAAACACAGCAGGAGTGGGCTCAGCTGTTCCCAGTGCCTACAAAAGAAATCCCAACAGTGTCGTCTGTTCCAGGCACAATTAGCATCAGTTTGATGGAGAAACATGCAGGGAAATGTATTCAGGCAGCAAAACCTCCTCTGCATCAAGGATGCTCTGAGAGGTGTCTGTAGACCTTGGACTTTCTGTTCATTTTCTGTAGCTGATGTTATTCTAATCCTTCTGTTATGCAGGAAGAGCATACCCTGAATTTCCTCTGATAGTAAGCTCTTGCTTAAGGACCATGCATAGGATATACCAAACATCATGCAAATAACTTCAAGATTTGTATCTCCATTAAAATAACAGCAGCACTGATGTGCAGCATTTAGGATTCTTCTAGTAGTTATTATATTTTCTCACCTCCAGGAGAGGTGGGTATAACCTAAAAGGGAGATATTTCTTTGGAATGGTAGTGCCTACAGAGTGCTGAGCCATACTTTTCCCCCAGAAGCAGCATTCACAGTCGTGCCTACTGTCTAATGAGCTTAATGATGTACAACTGGATGTTTAAATCTACTGAAACAATTATACAGCTTTCTCAATCCAGCTGATGCATCTGAGACTCAGTTCTGCTTCAGCTGATGTGGAGACTGTCCCTGAATTGCAGCTAACTACATTTTCTAATGAAGTAGCAAGTTTACATCAGGCATCCCATGGGATTTAGCTGATCAACATTTCCAAGAAGTACAATTTAAAAAAAAAAAAAAAAGGGAGAAGGAAGAGCTTGGATTCTTTTTGCATGGATGTGTTTTTCCCCTGCAGGATGACAGTTTAACGATGGAGAAGCTGAACACTTACGTTGTGAGTGCCAGTGTTGAAAATGCATCAGTTCAGAACCTTAATGAGCCCGTGACTGTCACTCTTCAGCACATAGACCAGAACACGGTAGGATGTGTTCCTTTCCTCAGGGATGAGGTGAGGCAGACCTGATTTCACTCACCCTTACAGTAAACTGGGAACAGGGAAAATAAGCTTGAAAAGCTTTACTGCCTGACCTCTCCATGTTACATCAAAACCCAAATATTGACAGGCCACACAGATCTTGGTGTTTATAAATTCCTGCAGGTTACCAAAGTTTGTGTCTCTGCTCTAAAGCCATGCTTAGCAGCACAAGACCTTTTTTTGTTGTCTTGTTATGATCTGGACAATATTTTTTCAAGGAATAGCTTATTTGCTAAAAAATGGCAGGACTGAAATGATTTATCTTTGCTCTGAATTAAGCAAATTGGTTTAGTCATCAAAAGAAGTAAACTTTAAAAACCCCGAGACTTTGCAAAGATGCTTTCAAGATTATTTTGCTTAGTTTTGTTTCAAAATTATGTTTCAAAGCTGAAGTCTGTTTTATTTTAAATGGTCAAACTTGTTGACTGAGTTTCACCTTAGCATTTCTGGGTTGTCAATGTTTAAGGTCCAGCCTCCACATGAATACACTACAAACCTAGAGCAGAAAAAATTATTCTATAAGATGAATTTGATTAAAGTTCAAGTTAATGAGAGCTTGGAAATACTGCTTTTATGGAGATATGCTCTTTCCATTCAGTTCTAGCAAATATATACCCAGAAATTTTATCTAGATATCCCCTCTCTTCTGTCATTTTTACTCCACCAGACCATCTGGCATCTCTCAGATTTTTTCCCTCGACCTTTTAAAATTATCTTAATTAAATATTTAATGAGTTATCATCCAAACCTACATCTTTGGCTCTCTGCCTAATTATATTTGACAGTCTACAGATCACACATTTTAACAGCTTATCTGTTAGGCTGGCTTCCTGTAAACTCTGTGGTTTATTAAACTTTATTAATGATATAATAATAATAAAAGTAAATGAATCTGTGCCTTGGGAAAGTTTGCTGCAGCATTATGAGTAATAAACTAGAATGTCCCCAAGAGAAAACATTGCATTGAATATCCATTTACATCTGTTCAGCTCTTACGTGTCTTCCCTGCCTGGTTTCAGAGAGAGGAATCACTGGAAAATCTAAAATAAAGGTTTCTTGTGGGTTTTTTTTTGTTGTTGTTGGGGTGTGACATCTCAGATACCACATGAAGCCAATGAGATTAGAAATTGGTCTATACTGGACAATTTTCTGCTGCCCTTAAAAGACTATAAGGCACTGAAAGATGCAGGTAAAACTGAGAAAATCACTGGCTCCCAGGATTTCCCTTGGTAAAGGGAGAGGCAAAAATCAGCACTCTGGTGGCTCAGTGCCATGGATGAGATGGACAATATCCCAGCTGGCTCCCCGAGCCCCAGTGTCCAGCAGCCCCTGACCCCCAGACCCACTGCAGCCCCACCATGCCAAGAGTCAGAGAGCAGTGGGCTCTCCTGTCAAGCAGTGCAGGGGAAGTCAAACCCAACAGCCTTAGTTATACACCCCAGTCAGAGCAAGAGGCACCATCTGCAAGTACAGAGGGCGTACAGACATCCTGGATAAATGTCACAACCTCCTTTTCTCTGCTTCCAGGGCAATGCAGCAGTGCACTGCGTCTTCTGGGACTTTGGGAAGAACAGTAAGTGCTATTTGCTGAGCTGCCACACTTTCTCTGTCCACAGCAGCCTTTGGCTCCTTGATGTGGCACCTTTGAGACTTCAAGGATGTCCTATTTCTGTGTTGCTGCTTTGTGTTGATGTTGGTACCTCAGTAAACAGTGTAAGCCCTAAGGATGTATGGATGGCATAGTACAGTGCTGCAATTATATCAGTAAGAAGACTCAGCCTTAGAAAAAAGCAGAAATGCAATGAAATGTCTGATGAACTCTCACAGTTGCTTCAGGGAGCTCAGTGGGGGCTTCATTGGGGTCAGGCCTTGAATGTGGCTCATGCACTCAACAGACACAGAGAGATGGCTGTGTATTGGGTTAACTCAGAGCATGTGGGAGAGGCTTGTTCTGCAATTATTAGGGTTCAAAAATATAATTTTTTTGAAATCAGAAGCTTAGCTTCTGAATATGTCTGAATATGAATATTCCCCATAAATAGGGTGATAAATTTAGTCTTACCAGAGAAGATCTGGCTTTTTCAGTGCTACACTCTGCCTAAACAAATCCTCTGCCCTGTACATACTTCCTTCTTTTTGTGTTTCCACATCCTGCAGCACAACCTAGCCCAGCACTAGGTTCTTCTTGCTTTCTATGTGTGCAGACATGTAAATGACTTTAAATATTTCTTCATTCCTCCAAAGGCTTTCATCCAAATTTTGAGGTTCTCAGGCAACTACAGAAGATGTGTTCCTGTGTGAAATCTCACTTGTGTGCTGCTAAATGACCCTGCAATCTGTACTAACTTGAGCTCATCTTCACAAACCCTGCATGCTGCAGAGCTATAATTGACTGAGCATGACTAACTCCATTTAAAAATCCTTTTTTCTCTATAACACAGATGGACTGGGTGGTTGGAATACATCGGGGTGTGAAATGGAATATACAGATATGAATTACACAATCTGTTTTTGTAACCATCTTACCCATTTTGGAGTTCTACTGGTAAGTACTCTGTGAATCATCTCCCAAAAAGTCCCGTGGCACTAAACAAAGTCATCTTTAGTTTGGGGGAGAGATGGGAGATTCATATCTATGCAAGCTGTTAGATAATCTGCAATTTTGCCAAATTCAGTAATAACAAATAAAACAGTTATAATAATTTAATGATATAAAGTCCTCTAAATGTCACCTGCTTCAAGGCAATTTCATTTTACAGATGTAGTTTTTACTTCTTTGCAGTGTAACTTAATCAACCTTAATGTGCTATTTACCACATTGGAAATACTGCGTTAAATTTATTACCTGCCAGTGGCAACTAATGACATTACATCTTTTGGAGTGTTTTATCTATGCTCCATCAGAAAGTGAAGTTTAATACAGATGTGGGAGATGTCTTTATGTATCACCTCTTATTTCTCTGTAATAGAGAGAAAACTGCCTCTAAAAGTAAAATGTCATAAGCTGAGATGGCTGCCTGAGAATGGGCTGCAACAAAGGCAAAGTGATAGGCAAGTTCTAAGCAAATTGAGTAGATTAAAATTGTCTAATCCCAGTAGGATACAGCCCACAGGATCGGGTGTGGCCCCACCTTTGCCTTAGGATGCTTCCCCTAGAGGTCAGCATCACCCTGCTCCACCAGAGGCAAGAGCCCTCTCCGGGAGTAAAAATGTGACTTCACAGGGAGGAATTGAGATGGTTCAGATTTCGGACACTTGCTCAAGTTCCCATTCAAATGAAGAGAATTGAGTTTGATTTTAAGATCACACTCCTCACTGCCACTTTAGTAATCAGCACAGCTACAAGTATTCAGCATCAGAGATGTGGGTTACTAGTCTGAGGTTCAAGGCTTCACCAAATAGAAGAGAAACTGTGTCAGGGAACAACAAAATTCTCTCAACTTTGCTCCAGCAGCTGTGAAGAAGCAGAGCCCAGTCTCCTAGCTGATTTTGCAGGGGGATGCTTTCTGGACAGGGAGGATCCTCCCACGCTGCAAGACATTTAGGAGATTTGTGCAGTTCACAAGCATGGCAGCTGCCACTGAAACAAAATGGTTTCTCCTACAAAGCAAGCTCCAGAGGAATAATTTTGTCAAGATCCTGGAATCCTTATTAAATTTGTGTTTTCTGAAGGACAGCTTTTGTAGCTTCACAACTTGTTGCTGAATACTTTAAATACTGCATATTTTTTACCCATTTGTATATTCTGTAGGACTATACAACAAGAAACACATAAAAATGTTAATGGAAGCCCTCCAAAAGGAGCAGTAAGGAGAACAGGAACTGATTTCTTTTCAGTGTGGAAATGTGTAAAGGAATTTTCTTAATCTGTAGTGGCAAACAACTGTGACTCTTTATCTTGTAACACAGGACTTGGCCCGGACAGAAATAGATGTCACAGATGATCATATATTAACTGTGATAAGCTACGTAGGATGTGGTGCTTCTTCCCTTTTTTTGGGAATAACGCTGGTGACATATCTAACCCTTGAGTAAGTCTGATCCTTTTTCTTACATGGCTTTTAATATTTTAGCAGTAGTGGATTTTCAGCAACTATAAGAATGTTTGCTAATATTTGATACTGTAATGCACGGGAGGGAAGATTGAGAGCTGACATTATAAAAATTGCTATATTTTGACCTCTGGTAAAATTAGAAGGACTCAAACACTTAATGCTTTAATACAAGCACCAATCTGAACTGTTCAACAACTTCTATGTTCTTAAATTTCACAGAATCGTAGAATGGCTCTACACTGGATGATGCAGCAATAACTTTGTGGACTTTCCCCTTCTTTTTAGGAAGCTGCGGAGAGACAACCCTTCAAAAATCCTGCTCAACCTTTGTGCTGCACTGCTGATGCTGAATATGGTCTTCCTCACCAACTCCTGGCTGTCCTCATTCAACCAGCCAGGCCTCTGCATCACCATGGCCATGCTCCTTCACTATTTCCTTCTTGCAGCCTTCACGTGGATGTGCCTGGAGTCTGTTCATTTTTACTTGGCCCTTGTCAAAGTTTTCAATGTTTATGTCCCAAAGTACATCCTAAAATGCTGCATTGCTGGCTGGGGTAAGCAAGCAGATTTCTTCTTCACTTCTGGGCTTGTCAACTTCTCTAAGATTGGGGCATATGTGCAAAAGTAAGTGAGGACACTGAGCTAGTGTGATCACGAAATGTGATGCACACCCTGAGCTGTAAGGATGGATCTCTCCCCCCGGGCAGGTTCAGCTTACATTTCTTCTGCTCAGGGAACCATTAGCATAAAGTGCCTGTTGCTCCCTGCACAGTCAAATGAAAAGGTGAGTGTGGGTGTAAGGAGCTAGTCTCCTACCCCTCCTGTTCTTACAGGGATGATTTATCAGGGTACCTCGCATCAGAGTGTGTGCCTGCGGCAGGATGAGCTGCCCACAGCCTTCACCCTTGCACTGGGGCTGCTCAAAGGTGTTTTTAGCTCCTTCTCCAAGCCCTGTGTCCAGAATACCTGGCATTCTATTCATGATTCCCCCACAAAGGGGGGATTTGGCTTTCATTCATTTCTCTCCTGAGGACTTCCCTGAACAAGCATCAGAGGCTTGTCTGGGAGGAACACAGCAAAAAGAGCCCATAGGCTGGTTCAGCTGTTAGAAAAGGTGCTATCAGAGGCACTGACCTAGAGCACAATTTGGTCTGTATTATTTGGGTCACCATTAGATGCTGTTTTAAAGGGGGGTTTTGGCTCTTGAATAGTGTGCAGTGTATTGTCATCTCTATCCTCAGATTTGACATTGCATCCAATTGTTCTCAGGGGCAGCCATCCATGATGGTGTTGTTGGCAGCAGCTGTTCTCCACAGAAAAGACAGGACTGAAAAAAAATATGGGAAATGGGAAATGAGTGGAAGGGAAGACTGATAAAACACTGCCTGGAAAACGTCTGTCTCTATAAGTTCTTAACACAAAATGCTGTGGTCTGCTTATCTTTTGACACTCAGCTTTTGTAATAATCAGTTGGGTTTATTTTGCCAGATTGGATCCCTTCTGGAGATGTTTGAACACTCACAAACATTTTGCAAACACGGATATTTTTATGCCTACTCATTTGTAATTTACATAAATAGGGAGATTAGACCTGCTATGTCATATATTTAATTACACTCATTTCAGAAGGAGAATTTGGGGGTAGAGTTGGATCCTAAGATGCAAATGTCTACTGTAATTACTCACCAGAGATTATCTGACATCTTTCCATATTCTCCATTTTTTTTTTCTTTTTAATCAAAATATTTCTTTTTCCCTTGCTTTCCACACTAGGAATACCAGCTGTTGTAATTATTCTTGTGCTCATTATAAACAAAGACTTCTATGGCAATGGGTCCCGCTCTGAGAGCAAGCCTTACAGCAATTTGTAAGTACAGTGCTTTAAGCTCTATGGTCAGCAGAGTATCTGAAAGATACAAGAAATAACCAGAAGGCAACAACTTCTCTCTTGCTTTTGTCTTTTTTCCCCATCTTTACCCTCTCCTTTTAGTGGTCTTTCTTTACATGACAATAGCTCAGTCTGGTGGGACATTTGTATATGCTCCTTCATGTTCTGGGTTTCTGGTAAAATCTAAAGGCACAATAATTGCTCAAGTATTTTGCACATTTGCTTCTGGTTTTTTGGAGGTTTTTTAAAATGTCAATTCACATCACTGTCTCATCATAATTTCAAATTCTTTTATTTAAATCATCTCAACCTTCTCTCTTTTCCAGTGGGAAAACACTGCATTCTTTCATCCTTTTTTAAAATGGTTTTATAGCAAAAATGCTTCCATTTTTTTCACCTACTTTCTGTTTAGCACAATCTGATCACTTGTTGGTGAAGATTACCTGGAATATTTGAATTCTATCCCATCACCCCTGTGACACCTCAGAGGGAAAACTGTTACCCATTGTTAGCAAAAAGACACTAATTTGTGTCTAAGGAAAAGCTAACCAGTGGCATACTATTATTTAGACTCCTAATTAATTCATATTTAACTTGGTTTTCCCGAGGCAGCGTCTTCGTGTGTATACATCATTAAATTGTGAAACAATTGTCCTGTTTTTCCGAATTTGGCAGAAACAGTAATGTCTCAAAGTCAACAAATATCCATAACATCTATAAAAAATAGGCAAGTGGAGAGATTTCATGAATGTCCTCACTGGGTGAAACAAACGGGCATTAGGGAATGCCCCTTTCTAAGTGTTGGAGAAGCACACGGGACACTTATTTGAGGAACCAGCCTTCCTGAGTTTCACAAACTCCTTATATTGAATACACACCTCACTTTCTTGCAGCTGCTGGATTCAGGACAATCTAGTGTTCTACATCTCCGTTGTGGCCTATTTCTTCTTCATATTTTTGACAAATACAGCCATGTTCATCACTGTCCTCCTCCAAATCCACTCTGTGAAGACAAGGACGCAAAAGAGATCTGGAGTCTGGAAACGAAGTGTTCTCCAAGACCTCAAAAGTGCTTTCAGCTTGATGTTCCTTTTGGGCTTAACTTGGGGCTTTGCCTTTTTTGCCTGGGGAGAAGTGAGGATATTTTTCTTGTATCTCTTCAGCATTTTTAACACCTTGCAAGGTAATTTCTCAGTGGAGTACTGCTATAAATACAACAATTTAGGGCTGTGGAATAGAAATAAATTTGAATGTCATGTAATTCAAGCATGGGGGAAGAGGAGAGTTTTTGTATTACAGAGTTTAGCTATTTTAAAAGGAAGGCTCTGTTGCAGTGGCATGACAGTGTTGTTTAGACAGCATTGCTGTTATAGACTACTAAAAACATGAATTCATGCCTTGGAAACATGGGTCCCAATAAACTCACCTTTTTAGGAACTGGCACAATCCTTTTCATCAGGGCATAAAAATGATTGATAAAATCCACAATGACTTGCAGATTATTCTTATACAAAATCTGCAGAAACCTCTTCTATCAGCCTTTCATATGCACAAAGGACTTGATGCCACTCTGGGCCAACAGGATCATAAAATCACAGAATGAGTTGGGTAGGAAGGGACCTTAAAGATCCCAGTGCTGGCCCAGGGACCACCTCTCTGCCCATACAGAACATTACTGGTAGCAGGGGCATGGCATGCCAAGCGTTTAGAAAAGGGACAGCAGTGTGGAGAATACATTTGAAAACACATTAATCTCTCTTCTTGCTTCTCTAGGGTTCTTTATCTTTGTGTTTCACTGCCTAATGAAGGACGAGGTAGTGAAGCAGTGCCGAGTACACTTCTGCTGGGGAAGATTCCGTCTGAGTAGCTATTCTGGTAAGCACTGAGGGGGTTTGTTTAGCTTGACTCACGAGTCTTTGTCTGCTACTGGTGTCACATTTGTTCTACTTTAAGAAATAAGGCTCCTCTCAGTAGCCTTTCTGCATTGCATTGGATGATTTTTCTTTAATAAGTCTTTATCCTCTCCCGTTAACTGCTTATATATCATGATGGGATGACAGCATGCAGTGAAAACTGCAGATTTCCAAAAACGATTTCAGCTTGGTCTCTAAGTCTGTTCTCACATGCCATTCGGTGTTCCCTTATGTGAGCAGTGCTTTTGGTGACTTTCCAGTCTCATAAAGCTGAGATTCTGAAATTTATGCAGCATATTTGGCATGCTAGTAGCTATTCCTTATGTGCAGGAGCTGGGTTTGCTCAGCCCAGGAGGAGAAGTCTTGCTGTCTCTGGCTGAGAGGTGGTTATTCTCTGGTTGTTTGAGATGTGATACTTGTACAGAATTTTTTTCTGTGTGCCTTCTACTCTCTGATTTCAGACTGGAGTGGGTCAAGTGCAACTGCAGGATCTACACCAAAGCATTTAAACCACAGATCACCATCCCAGGCTTTGCAGAGTCTAAATTCTAATGGAACAAGTTCAACTTGCAATGGTTCAGATTTCCTTCCCAGGTGTTCTCCAGATAGGAATTTTAAGATTGGTAAGAAAAACAGTGCAGTGTATAGACTGGAATGCAATAGGTTCCCTGTGGTGACTGTCAAATCCCAACCAATGGAAATAAACAGGAAATCTTTCACTGCTTTGTCTGTGCCAGAGTGGGGTTTGGGGTTAATGGCTACATTACACATGGCTTCTGTTGTACTAAGGAAAGTAAGAAAGCCCTTAAAATCCTGGGATGGCTCTTCTCCAAAAGGAAGGGAACTCTGCTTAGCTTCTATCTTAGGCATCTAAGAGATATTCTACCCTGGGCCAGCTGGCTGCTGCTCACACGGGACCTACTTCCAGTTAGGAAGCACCATAGTCTTGAGATAGATGATAGTGCTCCCTAACTGGAATTGCACTCCCAAAAGATTAGAGATCTTGGGAATTCCAGAAAGCTGAACAGGACCTGATGTGAGTCTTTTTAATCCAGAAGAATCCCAGCTGAAGGTTTTGCCTTCCAAGATGAAGAAATTGTTGCAGAGCCATTTTCTGAAACAGGAATAGCACCAAACATTCCTGGTTGTTTTTGGAAACACGTTGATTTGTGTTATTTCCCCAAAGACATTGAAACAGTGAGTTCTGCATAGACTCTTATAGGATTCTTTCTAAATACATTAAACCAAGTCATTATAATGGAATTTTTTTCCCAATTCTCTCCCATAGCTGAAGTCCATTACAACCCCAGTGCTGTATCTGCAGAAGATGGTGAGACCAAACATCCTTGTTCACGAAGAACACTAACTGTGGATACAGGGCTGCACTATCCACAGAAAGCAGGATTTTTACACTGATACTCAATTTGGTTTCTTCTGATTATCTAGTGATGGTTCTCCTTTGTGGCATATGAAAACAAGCATTGTTCACATTATTACTTCTACAGTACAGTTCTCACTCTGGACACAGCTATGCCATGACTCAACTCTAGGCTTCAGTGGAATTTCATTAATGACCACACAAGGATTTGCTGCCTCTGTGTTTCCAATATTAGTCCTCATGTTAAACAGAGACTGGAAACATTCTCTCCCTCATCATTAGTCCCTCTCACAGTTCATCTTTTTTTTACCCTTTACACCTTCCTGCCATTTCTGTTTCCTTCTTCATCTGATACTTAGTGTCAGAGCCTAATACATATAATACTGAGTTTCAAGTGATATTTTTTAGCCTGTTGGTTGACTGTCTCAGGCATGGACATATCTTTCCTTTCTTTTTCTGAAATGAAGTTTGACCAACTTGGACATTAAGAAGTTGGACACTCAGGCTCCAAGATGTATGTTTTTATTTTCAGAAGTGCTGGCTCTGATGATTTGGCTTTAGATCTCTAAAGAGACTTAGGTACATGTTTAAATGTTCGAAAATGTTGCCCAGTACCTTCAAATGGAATGTGGAAACAATAAAAACTGAAATTCCCACCTCTAATGGGTATCTATGCATATGAAATAAGTTTCAGATTATCTCTCCTGAAAAAAAAACAAACAACAAAATAAACAGAACAATAGCAGAACAGAACAATAAAATCCTACCATCTTTGGAGGTGGCAATTAAGGAGTTTTCCCTTTATTATTGTTTTTCTGTGAATACATTAGAAGATAAACTCTATTTCAGAACATCACAAGAGAGACTTAACTTTCCTCTCCTACAAAGGAGAGGCTTGCTTTCAGCGAATGTGTCTGAATTGCTAACTTGCCTGTTCAGCCAAATCCTAGTTTCAGTTTTGAATGCCCTTTCATGTGCATCATTCAGGTAAAGATTTTTTTATGATTGCTAATACAGTGAAATACTAACCTGTACCAGTGATAGAGGAGTAAAATAATATAATGGAGTGGTGTTGTAGAGCTGATATGTACGATAGAAAATACAAAAGGTTCTTTCAGTCTGTGAATAACTCCCACACAGCAATTAGTGAAAAAGATGAATATTTTAATGCACAGTAGCTACACCCAGCCTACTTGAAATCAGGCAGATCACCTTCAGTTCCTCAGCTTTCTGGGAGAAATGTTGTCATTAAAAACATGCAAACAAGTTCCACCTCATCCCCACTTGTTTCTAACTTGAAATTGCTTTCAATGGGAAAGAAATGTAACATAAAAATGCAGTTCAGTATGTCAGACATGAAGTATTGTGGTTTTTATTTTCATAAGTAAACTCTGTTCCACAATCTGCTGCTGAATACAAGTTTTCCCTGCTTTGCAAAGCGAAGCAGGACATGCTGTGCTGTGGTGCTAAAGCTGTGCCTGATCCCCTCCTGCACCCCTAACCTGGCTGCTGCACACCCCAGGGGGATCCTGAGAGTTTGTGGAGTTCTTCAGTGGAACAGGAGTTTAATCCTCCCACAAGTCCCTTTTACACCAGCTTGTCTCTGCCACAATATCAGTAAGTGTAGGTGGGTGGACGGACTGACGTGTCTCTGCCACCCTGCTTTGACCCTCACTTTCTCCTTCGTGCAGTAATTCTTTCTGCATCCACTTCAGAGGACAGAAAATAATGGGCTTACATTTTAGCTAGATATTAGGTTACAATTTCTATTTTTAAGGAATAAGTGGTCTAGAGAGCACATAGAATTGCCATCATTTCAGGGATTAAAACCCACTCATAGTGATGAGACAAATATCTGCCAGAACTGGTATGTCTTGCTTTAGGGCAAAGGATGGACTGGAAGACCTGTTGAAAGTCCTCCCAAATCTATTTTCTATTACTCTAATTTAAAATAAAAAGGCAGCAAAAGAGGATCAATACGAGAGCACCATGAGACTGACTGGCCTTGTCTCCTGCATCCTGTAATTGTTTTATTACATTCCTGATAAAAGGTGAAATGTACCTTGATTTTCTAAAGCTTTTGCTAAGTGCCTTCATAATATTATTAATGGATTAAAAGCAACAAAGATTCAAATAAAAGCTGGACAAACAGTAAGAAAAGTGCTGGAATACTGAAGACTTGTCTGACTGCTGAGAAATGGCTGGAAATTTCTTGGGCAGGCCCATCAGCATGTTTCCCATTTTGCAGGTGTACCAGCAGGAAGAAGAGCAAGCTGCACAGTGTGGAGCAATGTCAGGTCTCCATTCTTGCTATTGAATTATTTTTTTTCTATTCAAAAAGCAAAATCTGGAAGTCAATTTTTAAAACCCTGTCAACTTGCTTATGTAAAATGCGAAGCGCTATTTGTTCTGGGAAGGCTGTTAGCTCACTTCCACTCTCCATCGCACGCCTAATGGCTTTTCCAGCTAAACAGTGTATCATTTATGTTTCAAGCATGGCATTGTTTAGGTTGTCAGCTGGAATGAGGATGTGTAATTTTCCTTGGGCTGAATTAATATCTTCCGCACCGGCACCGTTGCATCTGCTCTTCTCCAACATATCAGCGCTGACATTCTGTCTCAGAATTGTGCATTGATGGTTTTCACAGGGAGAGGACACGCACAAAGAACAAATCTAATAAAATCTGCTCTGCGCTCGTGATTCACGTCCCGATAATTTTCAGCGACGGGAACAGCCCTGGCTGGAGCGTGAGCCGTGTGTGACCGATAGGATCCCATCCTCCTCCTCCTCCTCCCGGTTTGGTTGTATCAGTTGACTCCTGTGCATGGCAAGGGATCAGAACGAGATGATCTTTAAGGTCCCTTCAACCCAAACCGTTCCATGGTTCTGTGACTCAATCTAAAAGTTCCTCTGCTTTCTAAGTCATCTTCATTTACTCCTAGATTGCTTATTTTTAGCGATACGTACACCAGGAAATGTGTGCTCTGTTTTAAAGCAGTGAAATAAGGATTTCAGAAAGTATATTTATCTATGAAGACAATTATTCAATGTCAGATCCCAGTAGGTTGCTAACAATAGGTTAGATGATACAAAAGAAATAAAAAATGATAGTAAAGTTACTGCAGCAGTTGTGCTGAATTGAGCAAAACACTCCCCACTCCCATCTTACTATTTAGACTGGCACAAAACTCTCCACCCTGCGTACCAGCTAAGTCAGGGGATGCAGATCCAAGGTGCTGGCAGCTCGCTCATGGATTCCCAGAAACTTTTTATGTCCCTTTGTGAACAAGTGGCTAAAGCTGCCTTCTAGCTCAGTGTATGTACAGTGCTTTGGTAACCATGGGATAGGTAAATATTACATAGGATGACAGCTAAAGGTCAGTACAGCTTGTTTAAGCTTCCTCCTGAGAGTGTCTGAATCTGCAGTAGTGGTTGACAACACAGGGTAGCAATGCTTACACCCAAGATGTATCATTCTTTCTAAATTTAGTGGACAGTTATTATTGGAACAACAAAAGAAGTGTCATTATGGGAAATGACTTGAGATTAAAAATCAAAATACTGGGAAGATAATTACCTGTTGCGTAAGATGATTGTTAAGTCTTAATGCACAATTCACTGTGCTTTTAGGTATCAGAAAGTATTTAGCATGTAATGGCATTTTAATGGTTCCAAATCAAATGTATCATTGAGGGTTTCAAGGATGCCCAAAAGAATTATGCTGCTATATTACTTCCTTGCCTGGTTGTGCATGTAACTGATGAAATTCAAGGATAAATTCCACTGTTTATTTTTCTTTCTTTTCTGAGAAATGACACTAGTATTTCACTGGCCATTCCCATACTGGAACTGGCTGAGGAAACTTTTGGAAAAGGGGGATGGAAGGAATGCAAGAATAGAGAAATGGGATAAAAGGTATTTGGAGCCACAGGTTAATGACAGCATTTAAGATCCCATTGCAGGCAGAGTTTGTCCCACTAACTGCACTGAACAGTCTGGATTTGGGCATTGTAACAAAATCAGAAGCTCTTTTCTCATATTTTAACCAAGAAGTTATCTGCCTTGTTGCTGTATCACTGAATGCTCCCCCTGACAACTCATCCAAACTGACCTTCCATCTCACTTTCATAACACTGAGGGTTGGGGTGGTGTTATTTTTACTCCTAGACATGCTGATAAGTCTTGTGGTATTTGAAAGTTTAATTGGATAGCCCATCTTTAGTTTCAAAAAACAGGGACACTGTTCCAATTAAATATTACTGCAGGATTTGATGCCCTGAGTCTCAGTGCCTGCACAGCTCCCTCTGCCCTTGGTGTAAAATCAACTCCACACTGATAAACCTAGTAATAAACCAATGTGTAATTCTCCTAAATGGGTAGTCTTTGACAATAAATGGTTACATGCTGCCATGAATGTGACGCAGATGAGGAAATCATCATCAAAATGTACTAAAAAACATTTCCCATTTTTATAGCTCAGTAGTTGTTTAGTCTCCAGCTGCTGAGGAGACCGGGAAATAGTGAAAAAATCAAAATACAGGAGAGAGAAGATGTTCCCAATTAGTGGTGAAAAACATCAGACTGATAGACACTGAAATAAAGTTCTTGTGCTCACAAGGGAAGAAATCCAGTGTGGGCAGTGCCCTCTGCAACATTCCTCCCCTTTGCCTGACTCTCATAGCTCCGAAATGGGTGTCTGGTGAGATGGGAAGGTGATGTTCTCTATGTTTAGGGAGGCACTCAGATGTGGTGCATGGAAATAACTCGTTCCCACTGTCCCAGGAGGACAGAACAGAACTGAACACAACGCTGGATGTGTTACTAATCTGTTCTAAACATGGGCCACTGTCTCTGACAGGGATACTCACTCCAGGTGTGCATTCAGGCTTTTCCATTTAATACCTGTCTGCCTGAACACTAGAAAATGGATTGGGAACAGTCACACAAGTCACACAGCTGTGAAATGGCTCTTTGTCCCCCCACCTTGCCATTACTTGTCACACTATTGGCAATTACAATTTAAAGAGAAGACACTAAAGCTGAAACACAGATGTGAGTCAGAAACAAGATGAGCAGAGATTCCTCTTCCCAACACTGGCTTTGCCAGTTCAGAAAACACTAGAAAGAAAAATGTATTTCAGATAATTCTAGTTACAACTGCAGAGTCCAGTTTATAAGCTAGAGTTGTTGAAGGACTCCAGGTTAGAACTTTTTTGATGGAGAAATAAAAAGCATTCCTTCATGTCAAAAAACCAGAACCTAAAAGGAAGGCTACTGAAATGTGCTGGAAGGGAAAGACTGACACTGATCTGGGCTGGCTGCTAGACTTCAAATCAGTTTTCCTCATCCAGGGAGGAGGAGGAGGAATGTGCCTGTGGTGACCCGGCAGCAGAGTCCTGCTCTACTCTGAACAGCCTGGGCACGTGGAGAGCAATCAGGCTCATCTGTTGGAGAGATTTCAATCTGAGAAAAGCCTTTTATAAGGGAGGATGCCACAACAGAGTCTCCCAAAACTCAGGACTGGGACAGACAAGCTGCTCGGCATCTCTCTGCTGTTATCACTCGACAAACACAAACGTCAGTTTGCTCAGTGGAGACAGAAGGATCCACCAGCCAGCAACAAACAGATGGTGGAATTGCTAGGAGAGACAATCAAAGCAAGGGGCTAAAATGAGCTTGAGACATAAAAGAAGAATTAAGACAATTAAATAGTTCTATGTAGAAACGATACAAATAACAACCTAAAAAAGAGTGAGTTAAAATAATCCTAAAACCCCCAGGCTGGCTAATATAGCTGTAGCTCAGTGTGTATCAGTTTGGTGTTCCTAGCATTCTAACTACAAAGCAATATGACATATCTGCATAAACAGTAATCAAAGCAGGATGACCAATGTACAGTGAAATAATAAAAATATACACCACAAAATAATTACAATTTTGGAAAATCAATTCCTTAATGGGAGTTAAGGTTTTGGCTGTTTTCTTCATATTTTGGCTTGGTGCAGAGCAAATGGTTCTGAAGGATTTTACCGAGTGGGTGACACTATGCAGCACATGGCAATGACTTAAGTAAACAGTCACACTGCATTAAAACAGAAAATTTGCATTAAAAATACAGCTAAATTATATACTCCTGAGTATTTTACTCACACTTTTTTGCAGCATGGAGTTCAAAAAGGAACATTAATTTTCTGTGAAGCCTGGTACTTGAAACAATAGCCAGAATCACCCAAATTGCTTTTCTCTTTGCACCAGGAGAGAAAGCTCTAAAATAACACCTTAGATTACTTTACAGTTTGGAATAACAATGCCATTCTCTTCCCTTTCAGCTGGATTTGAACAACTGAAAGCTACCAGAAATAGTTGAAATTCCACCATCATAAAAAAATTGCAAATGTGGTTTACTATCTGTACTTCAGGCTTTTGTTGGGCCTAGACAGTGTTATTTTGTGTGCTTTTTCAAAATAGTATTTTTCACCTCCTATCAATCCACTAAGACAGTATCTTATGCTCCATAAAGAGAGAACCTGACCAACTACCTAAAACCTGCACTAACACAAGGACTGAAGGAAGAATTGGGAGAAATGATGGAGCTTCCTCCTGCCACATTCCCCCAGGGGGGAAAAAGATGGGAAAAATGCAATCTCTCAGTGGAAAGAGAAAACCAAGTAGACTTTCATGCTGCTGTGAGCTGGGTTAGACATATATACTGTGCCCTGCTAGAGAAAGAGCAGGGAAAACGTGTCTTTGTATCCTGGTGGTGAGGGCTTCTAAAGTATGAAGCATCAAACTGAGCATTCAGGTCCAGACACATCAGTTCAGGTCCAGTTTGGGATAAACAGCACATGAAGTGTCAGGAGTAAAGAGAATTTTAAGCCTCTGCCCCTTTCTGGGGTTGCTTTCATCTGTGGCACACGTTGATGCCCTCAAGAGGTTTCAAATGGGTCGGGAGGTCTGTCAGCTGTCCCTTCTTACCTGAATCATCCCCAAACAAACAGCTGGGAGCAACTCACAGCTCACGAGTCCAATCCTGTGGATTATGTGTTACACAGAGGAGTTTCAGTTCAGGTTCTCTGTCCCAGCATACAAAATGATCGAGTGAACTGACTGAGCCTCAGAGTTCAAATTATCAGCCCAAATCTCTCGGATGGCTCTGGAAGCTCTGGGACTCTAAGAGGCTGGGATCTGCTACTGTCTGAGCTTTGGAGCATCAACCAACCTCTAGTGGAATTCAAGGCAAACAATGTGTTTCAGCTACATCCCAGTTTCAGCTAAACACCCGATGCTTCATTCAGATGCCACCCTTGAGTACTCAACACTTGCTGGAGTGCAATTAGTTCCCAATGTTTGGTGACACCCTGCTTCTGCCATACAGGAAAACTAAACATTTTATGTAACTATCTGACATTAAGCTGTCACAATCTGCTACAGTTGGTGAACTCTGTATTAAATATAATGCACAGTACTATGCCAGTGTGGGTGGACAACATAATCAGGCATCCTCAAAGATACCTAAATCTGTGAGCAACCTACATACTGTGCCTGCATGAAAGGACGTATTATGGTTGATCGTGACAAGAGCTGCTCTTCTAAAAGCACTTTCAAAAAATGTAGTCAGAATTTTTAACCCATCCATCCTCTTTGCATCAGTGAGTCCTTCTCCCACCACTCCACAGCACGGGTCTTAAATTTGATCTAAC